GGTGATAGTGCTGGTGCATTAATCTCTGCATCAATATGTCATACAATAAAAAATCTTGATTTTCAAGTAGATATTTATTATTCTAATAAAAAAAAAAAGAATATATTGTATCTTTTTAATGAAAAGATTCTTATTAGTGGTCAATTTGATTTTTTTCATAAATTTCCATCACGTCAAGAATTTAATAATCCTATTTTTATTATATCAATTGATGTACTTGATTGGTATAAAAGAAAATTTATTTATTTTAATATAAATAATTTATTTTAGGTTTACTTCAAATGCTTTACGTAATGAAGATGATAAAAATGATTCAAGATTTTCAATATTACTTAATAAATCATTCAATTCATTACCAACATGTTTATTCATTGTTGCTGAACTTGATCCATTACGTGATGATAGTTATAGTAAGAAGAATATCAATGAATAAGATACCATACAAAAATTATAATTGTTTGCTTTGTTAAGATTATCAAGAGCTACTTGAAAAATCAGGAGTGAAAACAAAACTTGTTCTAATTAAAGGAGTTATTCATCCATTTTTTAGTAATCCTGGTAAGAAAAAAAAAAACAAAAAATTTGATTAGTTTCTTTTGTTTTTTATTGAATGTATATTTTGTAGGTATATTTATTAAATCATGTCAACAAGTAATAGATGCTATTCAAGAATTTATGCAAAATTTATAAAAAAAATGAACATTTAAAATAAAAATTTAATTAATAAAAAACTATTTGTTATAATAATAATAATTTAGAATGTTAATTCATTTTCATTTATTTAAGGATAATGAAACCTTTCATTATAACAGATGACTGGCAACAATAAATGATCGGTTTCTTTTTTTGTATTTATTTCTTTTTATTACTTACAAGAGAAGTCTTTCAATTGTTCGTGTCATTCGCTTATCGCTATAGAAATACTGCACTTTTATGGTACTTTTGAAATGGATGTCATGTGATTCCGAAAAACTAATTTTTGAATTTCGACTCGAAATTTTATATAGGAATAGGTTTGAATGAAGATTGTTAAAATGCGTCCTTTTTTTCTTATTTCATCTATTAAAACAATCATAGTTTTAAATATTATTCCATTATATATATGATCGATGTCATAATCGAACATATTGAGATTATGACTATTTTGTGACCATCTGTAATGCATAAAAACTTTCTTCAGACTTGCTGTGTATATAATGTAGCTATGTCTTGTTGATAGATGAAATGTTTGTTGTCAGATTACACATATGTAAGAACAAATTATTAAAGACACAAGCACCATTTTTAGATGCAATAATTATTTTTGAATATAAATTTTTTCAATGAATAGAAATATCTTTTATTCAAAGTAGATTTATGTACTATATGAACACAAAAATCTATCTTTTGTATAAAAATTTTTTGCAAATTTGATTTAATATTAAAAAATTATTTTAAATTTCTCTCTTATATCTCTAATAAGTAATAAAAACTAAAGGACAATTTTCTTATCAAAATCTGACATAGATTTAATATATATAAAGAGCATGTACTTTTATGTTGAATTTGTATTCGTTCCTTGTTTTTATTTTTTCGTTCTATATACAATGCAAATAAACCAAAAAGAAATGTGAAGTATAAGATTCTATATAAAAAAAAAAAAAGGAATAATAAGTCTCGAATGTCATTCTTTGATATTTGACTTTCTTCTTCTTTTTTTTTTATTATCATTTTCAAACAAAATCTAATAACAAGATAATATTATTATAGTTTAAATGTAAGTTTGTTTTTTGTTTTTATTTTGTTCAAATGATTTAACTATTGTATATTCTTTAGGGATCCACGATTAAGTGATGAAGCACGTACTTATACGATGTTTATATCAGAAAATTTTCCAGCACCGGCAAATTTAACATTACAAACAATGCGTGAACGAAGTGCAAATGTACATGTAAAAGTTAATGAAAAATTTATTGGAACATTTAAAGGTATTGAAGAAGAGCAAAAAATAAAAATAGATGAAAATACAGGTAAAATATAATTTAAATCTTCAATTAAAAAAAAAGAGAGAGAGAGAATTAAAATGATTTAGAAATTCCAATTACAATTTATACACCAGTTGATGTTACAAAAAATAAAATGGTTATATTTTTTCATGGTGGAGGTATAAAAAAACAAATTTTTTGATAAATATCTAAAAAACTAAGACCAATAAAATATTTAAGGTTGGACATTAGCAAGTCGAAAAACACATCAAACTATTGTTAATATGCTTGCTGAGTATTT